ACATCACAGCAAGTGTTCGAAGTTAGTTATTTTCCATATTTTCTTTCAATTGGGTTCCCCGAATCCACGATCTCCCACTACCTCGGCCTAAACCAGGGTGTTGGCGGATTGTCTAGGCAGCAGCATGTATCTGATTTTGCAATATTTGCTCAGTATTAACTTCCGTAGCGTACACTATGCTTTTTAAGTGACCAGAAACGCAAAAATCAAGAGGATTGAGGCAGGACGATCATGGTGGCTGAGCCATTTGATCATCTCGAGCTATCCATCTTCTACGAAACACTTTTACTACAATTTTTTTTATCTATTAGTCATTATTTGTCCTGAGAAATAGATCCCTCAGTTTATGCGTATAGGTTGAGAATCATCCTGTATATCTATATCTGTAAATCTGTATAATAGATTGATAATGTATTAATAGATACACAAAGTAATTAACTAAATTCATCCTTGGCTAATATATTCTAGATGTTATTCTTCTTTTGTAGTGTAACAGGTTTTGATAAATTATAAACATTTTCGAAAATTATTGAAGGATGAGGACGTACTTGACAGTTACCCGCCCAATCTGTTGCCTTTGTTTTATGAAAACCTTTCAAGCGGGTGCGAAATGACATCGCAAATATTGGCGATAACATCAGCTAAATTCGCTAAAACCAGGTTATATTTACACCAGGTTTTATGAAAATGAACTCTAGAAACAGTAAAAATAGAAGGATTGGTAACATTTTCAGATCATAACATTGTTTAATTTTTGCAATAATTAATATTAAAATTCAAATTTCCCTCTTAAAAGCTTTGGTGACGTTTACGAGGTGTTCGCGTAAGATCAAGAAGACACAAACGTGCATCGTTCGGATCTCTTCTTCTAGCGCAGAAGATTCCCGTGGCATTTCGCTTATACACCTTTCATTGATTTTTATTTCAACCAACCACTTGCGAAACGACGGTGACGTCTCCAAAGCTTTTCAAATTTTCATTAAAAATATAAAACAAAAAATTATAGAAGTCTTCAATTTTGCTAAACTATCGAATAAGCCAGTAAAAAAAATTGTAACGGCCCCATTGTTCTGTTAATCATCATTATCAAAAAGAAATCGGTTTGGCTAACTGATAAAGGTGCAGAAAAATATGTATAACAGTGGTTTGGAGAAGAATGATAAATTGACGGTGAAATGATGAGAACGTTACTGTCAATGCAGACGAATAATTTCTCTGAAGAATACAAATTTGAAAATTTCTCTGACTCAGAATCTGAAAGCTGTAATATTGCTGATAATGATGATCAACAGTGAAGATTTTGTTCAATACCGTTTGCAACAATAAGATAAAACTATTCCTGGATATGATCAATCGAGAAAAAAAGGCAATATATGTAGTTTATCAATATTTCGCTTTATTTTAAAGCTTTCTCAGGGTAATCCTTAAACTAAATACGACGAAAATGAGCAATAAATTGTAAAATTAACAAAAAGAGACTTACAATTGCAAGGAAATTAAGCGTCCCATTTTAAGACACAAAAGTAATTAGAGGTTCGAAGAATCAACTCATGTTCGATTGATATAATAAATCCACATTTTAAGATCAAACATAAAAAAAACACAGTCTTAGCTATGAAAACAGGATCGTTAACATCTCTGAAGCTCATCTCATCCAACCCAATTTAGTAAAATTAAAAAATAACTTTTTGGAAAATTGATATGCACCTAAATTACTTAAGAAAACTTCTTTTCAACACTTCCGCTACAAATCAGATAACAGAGCACAAGATCACATTTGTACCTCAGTTAACAGATAAATTGATGGAACTTTTCAAAGTTAGTCAGATAGATCAGAATTTGAAAATTATTGAATGTTGACTTCAGTTTTTTCCAACTTGAAGAATAAAATACCCTTTGAGGACCAAGCAAATATCATTTATCGTGTCAAAAAAAACGTTTGAGCCAACATAAGAGTGATTTACAAAGAAGGCTGTGCGTTGGCACACCATAGTTTGGACACTTGTGACATCTTTAATTTTGCTGAACAAAAATCTTAGATAAAGAAGACAATTACCATAATCGTTTATTTTTGGAAATGTTGCCATTTTTGCTTTGTGAGATATTCAAAATGAATCTTTAATGCAGTAGTTTCCCCTTGTCTTTTGCATCTATATGCCGTTAATCCCGTTTGACTGTACCGTCTTTTGAGATGTCTTCTCATGGACATATGAGAGATTATCAGTCCTGGGTATTTCTCTAAGTACCATTCATATCTGCTAGGCACTCCCGTAGCCGCCACCATTGGAAGACAATGGACATACCCAACAAACGGTAATTCTAGACGTCGCTGGTTTTGAATGTTTATATTGACTAAATCCATTACCACAATTGGACCGCATTATACATTACTTGACTAAGCGACATTTTATCGTTTTTAGAGATTTTCGTACTGTGTGGTACGTAAAGGTGTAACTTATCTTTGAAAAAGTGCAGAATACCGAAAGACCTAAAATACTATTTGTTTTAAAGGTTAAAGCTAAGCGCCAATCACATTATACGATTTTAAGTCCGATTTGCATCATACGTCTAAGAACCGACTTAGATACAATTTTTATTGCACTAAAACTAGAATTAACACAAGATCTAGAACTAGAATCATTCTAGTTGTATATTTTTATTGAATTAAAACTAGAACGAGAACTACAAACATTCGGATTTAGTCGTGAAAAAAACTTTTAGTTGTCAATATCAACTAGTTCATATCAGTTATTATTATACTCGTAATCTTCATAAAATAACCTTTAAAGTGAGTCCAAACTTGCATTTATCTCAAGAAACCAAAAAGTTCGAAATTTCAACTTTTAATTTTGATATATTTGTCAACTTCATAAAAAATCCTTTAAAACGAGTCCAAACTCGACATATTTAACTTTAATATTAATGGAAATACAATCACATCCGGTTTGAAACGTCAACGTCAATTTTGACATATTTGTCATCTTCATTAAAAAACCTTTAAAATGAGTCCAAAGATGACGCACTTATCTCAAAAAACAAAAAAGTTAGAATAAAAAACATTAAACCCGAAGTTAGCAACAATTTAATTTTTAAATATTAATACCAACCTTCATTTTTGATTTTTTTTTGATATTTCCGTTTTTGTGACAAATTTTAACACATTTTATAAAAATTAAGAATATGTCAAAATGACTTTGACATTTTAAACCGGAAGTTGCTTATATCTCGAGTAATATTGGAATTAAACGTATCATGTTTGGACTCATTTTAAAGGATTTTTCACGATTACAAATACGTCAAAACATACATTGACATTCTTAACCGGAAGTTGACCATAACTTCATTAATATTGAAGATAAATATGTCATGTTTGTACTCATTTTAAAGGATTTTTAATGAAGATTACAAATATGTCAAAATTGAGGTTGACATTTTAAACCTGAAGTTAGTTATCATATAATAGAAGTTTTATAACTGAAATTAATCTAGTGTTAGTCACTTTTCAGCACATTTTTTTATTTTTAATTTATTTTTTGGGTCATTTCACATTGATTAAAAAGAATGGTCGATTTTTAAGCCACATGATGTTTCTTGAATTATTCCCAAGTTTCTTAATATCGTCTTTAATTTCATTTTACAACTTTTTAAACTTTAATTTTGTAAATTAGTAACTAATAATCTGATTTCGACTTTGATATGTGATCTTTTTTAACAAAACAAAAAGATATATCAAGAAACTTGTTTGTAAAATGGATGAGATGAGAGATGTTAATCTATCTGTAGAGTCTCTGAAGATGGCCAAGCCAAACTGGTTAGACTTAAATTCTATATAAAATAAAAACCAGTTTAAAAGTGCAAAATTAAACTCTAGATAATTTTCTTCAAAAATTTTTACACGAATCGTCATCATTTTGTCTCTAGTTTTAGTGATTAAATTTATGCCACGACTTACAGAAACACCCTGTATGTCCTCTGTGCTTGTGATAGCTATCATCAGTGTTCTGTGATAGAAATGGACAGGCACCAAACAATTTTTAATAGTTTGAGCTTGTCTATTCTGAGAAGTCTTATATTTTTAAAGAGAGAGAACATTATTAATTTGTCGCTTAGTCAAGTGATGCATAACGCGGTCCAATTGTCCTGCAGGTTTCAACATAAGGGAAATGTCAGATGTTGCTGCTTTGCATGTTTGTTTAAGTTCTTGACGTATATTTCCATAGATAAAACGACTGATAGTCTAAAAGCTTTGAAGATTCATTGGAGATTCTTTAAAGACTCCGGGATACGAGTTAGTTTTCCATAGGTTGGGTTTTCTACATATTCATAACGTTGAGTTGCTTTTCTATTGCTTTCGCGAATTATTATATCAATCTGAATCATTTTCATCAGCAGGATCATATTCTGGTAACTGTTAAAATTAAAATATTAATTTTTATTACTTCTTAATGTACACATAATTTGTTTTTATAAATAATTAATACTTATTTCTTTTATTTTAAGCTATAAGTAAAAAAGAAAATTTAGTACAAAAATAATAACTGATCCTTGAGAATAAAAAAAGTTATTTCAATTACCCAATAGAGCTTTATTCTTAATCCTTTATACACCATTCTTATCTAGGAATAATAAAAATTTAATAAACACACTCTTATCAACATTTTTAATATCAGATATCTCAATTTATTTCCTTGTAAATATAACTTTTTTATATAAATCCTCTTTATCCTATTTTATCTCAATTTGTGTGTGACATTATTGTCTTGCTTTATTTGCTTTTTTATCAAGTTTTCGAGATAAACTTGAAACATGATACACAAACATATACACCACTCTGAAAATCCTTTCACATTTTGTTCTTTCATCACAACTCCGTATCCTATTACAAGCTCAACTTTGTATATGTTATCCTATTTTTTTGTCTTGTTTATATTTATATTTTTTATCTTTTGTGTGGTGTCCATATCGTAATTAACCTGTTTTTTCGTAATATTTCTTTCCAGTTCCTCGTAGCGCGGTCTGTGATATAACTATAGAAGAAAGCGATATTAGTTTGAAACTTCAAGATTCCGTTAACATTAGTTTAACTGTACGGTGAGTATTATTACGATAAATATGAGGTGTAAACTGAGATAACTGACCTAAATAAAACACATTTTTTGTAGTGTTATTTTGCTGATGAGATAATTTAATTATCGATGGGTTTTAAATATTATTTTTAGAGCAAATTTATTTAAATAAGGAATTAAGGCTAGTTTTAAAATAAAATGGAAAATTTTGAATTCGTTCTATTTTTTATGTGTACTAAAAGTTAGGGGCGATTAGATACATGTTCATTGTGCGTGACTTTAACGTTGTATAACAACGTAATTACCTCGATTGTTCGCTGCGTATCTAAGCTGATTATTGCACATTGTTAAACGTCCAAAAGGGAAATAATCAGCAATTTTTTATTTTAATGGCTTGCAATTAATCGTAATTTAACACTTAATAAATCTGCATGCAAGATTAAAATTTTAGCAATAAAGTACATTGTAAATTCCTTTCTTTTATTGTTTTGAAATTTACACTCTCTAAATTTTGTTTTCTTTTAAACACAACCACGTAGAAATAAATTTTAAGAATTTTGACCCATCTAAAGAATTTTTAAAAGCATGCGATAATATTCATATTCCTTTAAAATTATCGTCGTTTATCGCATTACTATTCATCGGAATTGTGACTAATGATTTTTTGGTTACAAAAGGTCTTACATATATTTGTACTTATTTTTTAATGATTAATTTTTCACTGTTGAAATTATTTCAAATTATTATCATATTTTTTTTATTTATAGTAATCTTAAGGAATCGATCAGATTGCAACTTTTAGTACAACACGATGATATCCTAGAGGTGACACCGAATATTATCGATTTAGAACCGTCCGACGAAGAGGTCCAGTATGTTAAAGTGCATGCCATAGGAGCTGGTCATAGTGAAGTTACAGCTAACGTAACGGATCCGAATGTCAAGTAAGAAAAGTGCTAAAAAAAGTTGTTTTGTTTTCTTAGTCATTGCTCTTAAATATAGTTCAACAATCTTGCTTTATTCTAAATAAAGATATTTTCTAAAATGAGATTTTAGAAATTGTTTGATGAGTTAAGAGAAATATGGTGAAAATGATAATAGTTATTTTGTCGTATATAATAATAATCATAATAATAATACTTTATTCAAAAACGTAACCTTATTACATTTATATCGTCCACAAAAAAAAATTTACATTATATTAATACTTTTTTTTTTTATAATATTTGCTTGTTGCATAGATCTGCTGTTGCAAAAATTTTTTTTTCATTATTTTTTTGAACTTTTCAGTGTTCAAAGCTTTTAATTTTGGCGAGAGTTGTATTGTACAGTTTAACTCATTGATAATGGAAGTTAATTTATGACTTTGAAACTCCATGTAGTGGTACCAATATATCACATCCATGACGTTTGTGATAGTTGTGTGTATTTGCGTTCTTGGGTATGTGTTCTTTTTCTGTATGTATGTAATTCAAACATGATAGAATAAAATATGATGGTATTGTTAGTATTTTTAGTGCCTTGAAAATCGTTCGACAACTCTCATTTGGACCCAATTTTGCAAGTATTCTAACGGCTTTTTTTTGAGCTTTAAAGCTGACCTCAATATCGTTTGAAGCACCCCATGTAAGAATACCATATGTTGCTATACTGTGAAAGTATGCAAAATATCAGCATGTGGATTGCTTGGCAAGTCATTTATGTATAGCAGAAAAAGTAGGGGTCCGAGAACAAAGCCCTGTGGTACACCCGCTGTTATAGTTCTCCAGTCCGAAGAGGTACCTTTCCACTGGACCTGTTGATATATATCCCGGAGATATGACGACACTATTTTTAATACATTATTTTTCAAACCATACCGTTCCAATTTCTGTAAGCGAATATCATGATTAACAGAGTCAAACGCCTTACTTAAGTCGCAGAATGCAATTTGAGTGTACTTTTGACTATCAAAACCATTGATTATTTGTTTTATTACGCTTTGCAGTGCCGTTGTTGTTGATTTATTTTTTTGTTATTTTGTTGGTATTCTGTTATAATATTTTCATTTATTAGATATTTCATTATGTTCTCTTTTATTATTGTTTCCAAGACCTTTGACATTACCCGTAATATTGATATTGGTCGATAATTTCTACTATCGTTTGCATCACCCGTTTCTTTATGGGGGTTATTTTTGCAAATTTTAATTCATTAGGAACGACTCCTTCTCTCATACATTTGTTTATGGCAACACATAAATGTTTCGTTGTTATTGGCACCATTTCTTCTACAATTTTTACATCAGTGTCTACCACTTCATCAAGAGATACCGTTTTTGTTCTTAATTTCTGTATGGAAGTAAATCGGTCAGTGTTGTTGTTTTTGTCCGATTTATTTACGTCAAATTTACCTGCTTGTATGAAATAATCGTTTGCATTTAACGTAGTTTGAATGTCTTTCCTTACTTTATTTCGCCCAGTTTCTTTACTTACCACTTTCCAAGCTGCGGTTATTTTATTTTCGGAATTGTTTATATAATTTCTAAATGTTTCCTTTTTTACGTCTTCTGTTTGTTTTCTGAACTCCATTCTTAGGCTTTTATACATGTCTTTGTATTGATCTTGTCGTGTTACCTCAATTATGGTATATATTGCGTCTAGTTGGTTTTTCATTGTTTTAAGTTTTTGTTTTCCCATATCAAAATTGAGTTTTTATTCATCTTTTGGGTTGTATTTTCCGGAAATGCAGTCTCATAGCACCGTGTAATAATTACACGGTATTATTATACAAACTTATTACCTACACATTTTATAAAAACATTATTATGATACCAAAAAGCATTAGATATAAATTTCTATCAAGATTGTAGCCGGAAGTGGTACTTTATCAGAACATACACTATTTATCATTTAAACCGTTACATCATTAACAACCATTGTACATTAAGTTGAGACAAGTGATTTAAATATCGTATGAACCTTTATAATTATAAAAAATAATCAGTGGTATCAAGATTAGATCTAATTGACAAAGTTAAATTGGTGTAAAAATAAAACAGGGTAAACCATACAGATATTGGACAGTTAAGGGCCTATCTTAGATGATTCTTTCTTACAAAATAGTGATATAACGGAAACGCAAATTTGTATTTCTTATCTGATTTCGTGGATTATACAGAATGCACCAATTACAATTTTACTTATTTTTTGCAAAAAGTACAGTCATTGGACGACAATGTTAGTTACTAGATATAAGTACGTTAATTGTAATACATTACTGCTGAAACTTGATATTACACACACAACGCGCTCATTTTTTTATTTATTTTTACTTTTTCATTTGTATAAAATATCTATTTTTTCATATTCATCCACTCCTTCAAGTAGTATTTTGTCGCCTTCCTGTTGTTTCTTGTGTTACTGATATTGCAAGGATCATTACATAGAGCTACAAATAAAGGGGTATTGATTGTTGTGATCGTCACCCATTCAGACGATCATTTTCGAAGTAATTTTCTGCGTGGAATCAGAATCCGAGCACCATCACGTCACGATTTTTTGTCAGGAAAAATGGATTTTTTAGCTACTTTTGAAGTTATGTGTGAGACGCATAATATTATTTTACTGTATTCTATCTATTTCATCATATAGTACTATCCTTATATGATTATTGTATTTAACTTTTATGGAATCTCTTTTGCTTTTGTTCCATAGATCTTCTGTTAGATCGCCTCTTGTGTTGAGCATGTGGCTTATCACGTTGGAGTGAACAGCAATAGCCGACTAGCATCTTCGCTAACTTAAACTGTCAGGAAACGAATGTAAATGAGAGTGCAACTAGTGCAATGTCATGCTCAAGTTACAACCTAATTTTATAAAGTTTTTTAGCATCACAGCGACTAGCACCATATAATTAGCAGCTTCATTATTGCCTAAGAAACCATTAACAATTTCTTTGAAGCTAGTCCAGACATCATCCAGCTATCCAACAACAATCAACACCCCTTTTTTCTAGATCTGTATTATGGCATAGATAAGTATTGTCATCATCAGGCATATGAATTCACACTTCAAGTTAGTCTTATTTTGACACGTTTTTCCACAAACAAAACATTTTAGTGTCTTTATTGTAATTATCGTTTCTATTTTATGATTAAACTGTCTGCTTTTCTCTTCTTTTTGTCTTTCCATTTCTATCTGTAATACTCTCTTCTTCTCGTGCATTTCCTAAAAATTTTGCGATGATGTTGCAAATGGTAGTCTTTCGGTGTTTCGTTTAGCTTTACGTTTCGGCGTGTTTGATAAGGTGAGGTAATTGCCAAAGAAACCTGATGTGACCTCATCAGGTCGGTTAATTCATTTAACTAAATTTATAAATTAGATTAAACTTAAATTTTATTTTAGTTTATGGCAACATTTGCAATTATATACACTTTTAGACTTTGATAGTAATCAGAATTTTATTCAATTGGAATATCATTTACTTTAAAATCAAGTGTTGATTTGGGCACATTATATTTGTTGTCAATATATCTTAGAGAAAATGTACCTCTCTACATTTCCTGCATGGTCAACAACATTTTTGGCTATCTTTAAGGAAGCATAAGGCATATAGGTACAAATCAACACCCCTTTTTGTATGTGTTCCAGTCTTGTTTGTAGCTATTGGACATATGTCAAATGATTAAAATCCATACTAATTATAATACAATTATTAGACATTGAAACAGTTTACCGTGTTAGGTTAGAAACGCTAAATTGACTACGTTTTGCCATTGTGCAGACCATAAACTATATTTTGGAATTGGATAATAATATCTTACCTTAATGTTCCACAATCAACCTCACAGAAAAAAGACAAACCTTTTGCAAAATGACTTGCAATGGTCTAGGTATCAATCTAGCACCGACAACCGACTGTGATACATAAACTTGCACAAAGTTCTTGTTTTTAAATAATAAATCTGTGCTGTCCAATAACTGCCACTGTCCAATAATTGTATGGCTAAACCATATAATTATTCACCCACTTGTTGATTATGACGAGGAATTATTAACAAATATAGATGGAAAATGCAAACAAATTTATATTATTTCATTATCTACAAACATTTAAAAAACTCGTTTTTTTTTGCGTAAAATTAAACGTTTAGTTAAATACAATGCGCAATGAATTCTATATGGAAAATCTTTCCTTGAATTTTTTGAAGGTTTCTATGACAAAAAAATGTAAACCACATTTCTAAAATGCCTTCATCCTATTGCTTGCATATCATCACCAATACTAACATAATCTTCAAGTGGAACATCATTTACGTACTCTCACTCAAGTACTCAAGTTGAATATTTTGGGCTGTAAATTTTCGGTTTATTTTCAGCATCTTTCTTTTTTGTGCCGGGGGTTTTGATGCATATCAAGACAAGTTGTACCTAGCAACACAAAGTTTTATGAAACAGTTTATTGAAATCTATACAAGTTGTATGTTGTTATGTAGGGTAGTCCAATCGGACGCACGGTTATGGTGATCTTAATCGTCTTAACCAGATAACTAATTTGTTAAATAATTTTTAATCTATATTAATGCAGTTCTCGTTCGAACAAGAACTAAGCAAGTACGAACATTTGTATCGAAATCGCAGATGTTTGAAAATAACGTTCCATTTATGCGGAAAATTTTCAAACAAAACATTAGGGTGGAACTAAGATGTTCTAGATATCGGGATAATTCTAGTTCCAACCATGGATGAAGGTTTCTTCGACATATGTACCAAATCCAAAGATAATCGGTTCAATGATTGTGAGGAAAACTTCGCCCGACTTGAAAAATGTGATTTCGCAAAAAGCGCGTTTTAAAGTCAACAAGAAAGGAATCTTGAACCGCAGGTGGTGGTCTACGCCTCTTTAGATGCAGTATTGTTTTGCGTTAGGCCGATTTTAATTCACAATGTATCCATAATTTTAA